CTCTGTGCTGACAGCTCGGAGCCTGGGGCCTGCTTCAGATTCTGTGTCTCTCTCTCTCAATGCCCCTCCTCCACTCACGCTCTGTCTCCCTCTCTCTAAAAAATAAATAAACATTAAGAAAAGAAAGGAACCAGATCTAAGCTCTCTTCAGAAACCTCCTAATAATTTTTCTACTTCAGATAAATTAATATTAGCAGAGACAATTTAGTAAGGTGCCTGAAAAGGCTAATTTCAATTTGACCATTGTCAAAGCTAAAACCAAGTTCTTTTTTTTTTTTTTTTTTTTTTTTTTTTTGGTCTTTACCTTTTCTATCTTGCTACCTCCCGGGGCGGAAGGAAGCACTTTCAAATCAGTACAGAAAGATTATTTCCTTGTTCTTCCCGATTGTGAGGTTTATAAATACACCTACATTTGTAAGGAATACATTATACTGTACTTGATATTGATCGAGTACTGTGTCAAATCTTGGCTTAGAGGTGAAAAAATTGGAGCAGGCCCAGAGAAAAATAATGACCATAATTAAGGGTTTGGAAAATGGGATCGAGGACAAAACACATAAAGTTTAGGAAATCTGAAGGCTCTTGGATGCCTTCCTTATTTTCTAATTTTGTTTTCAGCTTTGGGGAAGCTCAAGTATATAAGAAAATGTTCATCATCAATCAAAGAGTTATCAAAATTTAAGAGGGCATACAAGTCCACAGGGATTTTTGAACCCAATCCAAAATAATGGAAGGACTCTTTATAGAGATCCTTTCAAACAAGGATACGTCACTCCCCACTTCTTTCCCATAATTCATTCAGCAAACATTGGTTGAATGCCTACTGCATGTGACAGGCAATGTTTCAGGCATGGACAGAAATCTCTGTTCTCTCCAAACTTACGTTCCAGTGTGGGAAGAGAGACAATGAACAAAAACAACACAACAAACATCATAAACAGGTAAATTATAGAATATTTCAAAAGGTGATATAGAAATAGAGTAGGCTACGGGGAACAGGAATGGGAGATTGCAAATTTAAAGGGGGTGGCCAGGATAGGGATCTTCGAGCACACGTCAGTTAGCAAAACGTGGAATCCTGACAGGGCAGAGGGCATTTACCTCCTAATGTGCAGCTTACAACGCTGTGCCAATCAGTCAGGGGGCACTGGAGGAGCTGAGAATGAATTCCGTTTCGGCCACATTAAGTTTGAAGTGCCGCGGCACAGAAATAAATGATTAGCGGGTCTGGAAATGCAGATCTGGAGCGAAGGAGAGACGTCTGAGATCGAGACGTCGCTTTGGAATCCCTGTGGTCGAAGCGGTGGGAATGAATAGGTGAGCTCGCCAAAGAAGAGCAGGGTGGAAAGAATTCCAGGGAAGAACTTCACTAATGAATGTCTACATTTTAGGGGATGGACACAAAGACAAATCAAGAAAGGAGAGTATACTTTTTTTTTTTTTTTTTCTGATCAGAGAGAGAGAAAATGGGCCGGCGTCGTTCGCGCCCTTTCATTGCAACCTAACGTAAACTGGCTCCCTCCAGAACAAAATTCTCCCATGGCACCATACCCCCTGGGGCGTGAATCTTCCTTCAAGCCCTTCTGAAGGTAAGGGGAAAGGAACTAACTTTTACGGAGCATCCCACGCATGCCAAGTGTTTGGGGCTCCAAATCCCGGAATTTTCCTCCTCTATACCCCCCCCCCCCGCCCCAACCCCGCCGCCGCTTCCCTTTCTGCCTCCTTCAGCAGTGTCGGCTCCCAGAAGGCTGAAGCACTGGACCGGCCGTCAGAAAACACATGAGACTTCTGGAGCGAAAAGGCAAAGCAAACAAACAAACCCCCCTGCCAGGAGTAGAGACCCGGGGCCGCCTTGAACCTCCCCCTCCGGCCCTCTCGCCGCCCCGCCCCTCAAGCCCCACCCCGGCATCTCCGCAGGCCCCGCCCCTTGCCCCGCGGCCCACGCTCATTTGCTGGCGCCCTTCCGTTCCGCTTCTCCATTGATCCGCTTTCGCTTCTTTCTGCAAGGCTCTCAGCTCAGCGCTGCCCCTCGCGGAGAGGCCGCGCGGCGCAGGCTCGGCTCGTGGTCACTCGCGGACCTTATTCCGTGTCGCTTTCCCCTCCTTCCCGGCATTCCTGCTTCCGCTTTCTCACGGCTCTTTGGTTTTTCCACCTCTAAGGCATTTCGCGCCCAGGGGTTCGGTGACGTCATCTGTCTGCGCTGCGCGGACACCCGCCCGTGGAAGAAGGAACAGCTCCGCCGCCCTTCGCCTCTTTTGTTGGGCTGCCGCTCCTCCGGAATCATGGCGCCGTCGCTATGGAAGGGGCTGGTGGGCGTCGGCCTCTTTGCCCTAGCCCACGCGGCCTTTTCCGCAGCTCAGCGTAAGTGCCGGGGTGGGGTGGGGGCGAGACCGCGGCCGCTCCTGTGCGGGACTCCGGGGGCGGTGTGTGGGCGCACGCTGGGGGAGTGTCGGACCGAGTTTCCCGGGGATGGTCATTTGAGCCCTTAGAGTTGGGGGTGACTCCGAGAAGCGGCGCGGGGCTTGAGTTTGAAGAGACGGGCACCTGAAATTGCAGCAGGGATGGAAGGGGAAGGGGGTGCCTGGGAGAGGGCTCTGAGCTGGCTGCAGGGTGGGCAAAGAGGGAGGCCGTGGGGCTGCAGGGTGGCCATAGAGGGAGTTGGCCCGGAATCCGGGACGAGTGATGTCAGATCCAGCGTGGGGCTGAGCAGGCTAAGTGTCGGCTTGAGGACCTCTGGTGCTCATGGTCCCATGACAGCTAGGTGGACAGCATCTTGGGCGCTCCTGGGCTGTCCAGGCGGAGACTGAGAAGTTAAATGACCGTTTGCCTTGTGGGGGCACTGTGTTGCAGGAGAAAGGGCACTGGATCGGGAGTCTGGAGGGCTGGTTCCGAAAAACTTGCTTTACCACTAAATCTGTATGACCTTGGGCAAGTCATGTCCCTTCTGTGAGCTTTCACAGAGGTGGATTTTAATTCTTGCCTTTCCTGGGTCACAGAGTGGTTGGGAAATTTAAAAGCAAACAAGTAAAAGTACTTTAACATACCAATACGGTTGTATCGTGGAGAAGAAACTTGGAAGGCCAACAGACGAGGTAGTGCAGTCTTTAGACAGCGGATCCGTTTTTAGGTCTTTCTTCTAGACCAGGGGTCAGCAAACTCTGGCAGGTGGGCCAAATGCAGCCTCTCTCCTGTTTTTGTAGTCAGCTACACATAGTTTCACATTTTTTAATTTGTTGGGGGAAAAAGCAAAAGAATATCATTTTATGATCCGTGACAGTTATAAAGAATAAAAAAAATCTAAGTTTCAGTCTCCATCGATAAAGTTTTACTGGCAGACAGCCACACCCATTCATTTAGGTGTTGCCTGGCTGCTTTCTAAGTGGGGAGTTGAGATGTTGACACAGACAGTGTGGCCTGCAAAGCCTAAAATATTTATTATTTGACTCTTCACGGGAAAAGTTTGCTAACCTCTGTCCTAGCGCACGTGGGCAGCTCATTTAATCCATTGCTATGATCTGTCTGCCTAGCATAATCCTCTCCACAGTAGGTACTCAATACATTTGTTAAATGAAGTGAATTTAAAGTTGAACTTTATTCGTTTGCTAGATTACTTCCCATCTTCAGGAGTAAAGTCGAAAGTGAAATGTGAATTCCTTCAAAGCTTTAATTTTTTTTCAAGATAAAATCTTTTGTTCTGTTTATTACACACAGTTAAAATGACCGAGCTATTTTCACTACTTTTTTCATGCATGTGTTTATGACATGACATTTGTCTGACGGAAATTCAGCTTTATTTTTTACGTACATTTTCATTTTGAAATTTTAGATTTGCAGAAAAGTTTCAAAGGTAGTGCAGAGTTACCGTATACCCCTCGCCCAGTTTCCCACATTGGTAACATCTTCTGTTACCGTGGCATATTGTCACAACTGAGAGACTGACGCTGGCATATTACTGTTAACTGAAGTCTAGCTTTTATTTGGATTTTACAAGTTTTTCCAATAAGGTCTTCTATTCCAGGAATCAATCCAGGGTATCACATTACATTTGGTTGTCTTGTTTCCCCAGTCTTCTCTATTCTGCGACAGCTTATCCAAAGCTCCAATCTTTAATGATAACAATAATAACAGCTAACATTCATTACGTGCTTACCATGTGCCAGGCACTGAACTAAGCACTTTATGTGTATTATATAATTCAGTCCTACCGAAAGCTCTGTGGGGGAGGTAGCTGTTGTTATGATTTCTTTTGAAAGATGAAGAAGTTGAGACGAACATAGCTAGGAAACTTGCAGAAACTGACAGAGATGATACATGGCGGGGCCAGGATTCAAAGACAAGCAGTTTGGCTCTAGAGCCTATGTGCTGCACCACTTTATGAAATTCAGTTTCATGTAATTGGTTGAAATTGCTCTGTGCTTAGGTGCTAGAGGTACAATGATGCCCTGGGGAAGTTCAAAGTCAAGTGGGGAAACAAATGGATCAATAAATAATCACAATAAAGTAATATAGATGCTATGCTAAAAGTACATAAGGATGCTTGGAGATGGTCCGGGGGTGGGAGGTGAGGGACAAGGAGGTTAAGGAACATATCTCAGAGCCTTGCTGCCCAAGTGTGTTTAACAGACCAGCCTCGAGGGAATCACCTGGGAGCTTGCTAGAAAGGCAGAAACTCAGGCCCTGCCCCAGAGTTTAGTGAATCCTAATCTGCATTTTAATAAGATCCTCAGATGATTTGGTTGTACAGTCCTTTGAGAAGCGCTACTGTAGACGAGATTAGGGTACTGTTGAGTTCTGCGTCATTCTGTACAGTTGGCTTTGGCGTTGGAATTTTAAGAGTTCTAGAGCGAGGAGATCATGGAAGTAAGTCTGACTCCTTCATTTTACAAATGAGGAAATGCCTGGTTAAAGGTAGTGTTAGAGTCAGATTAGCCTTCATGCAAAGAAGAAGGCTGGCTGGGAATCGAACTGACAGTAGGAAGCTAGCCAAACCTATTTTTGGTATTGGCTGGATGTTTCTTTTACACCGGTCCTTATGTTAAACCCATAAGATAAAACTTGAGAAATGTCTCTAAGTGCACTCTTTTAAGAGTCACTACGTGTTCCCTGACAGCAGTTTGGGTTTTTTAGTCCACAGCACATTATTAAATAGGGCTTGTGCAAGATTCTTCTAGAGTTAGAGACTCGTGTTTCCGGTGAGATGAGAATGCCTTGTGGCATTTGTCACTGCAGTGGGGCCTCTTTATAATGCTTATGTTGCAAAAAGACTAATATTTACCTTGGAAGCTAATTGTGTCCTGTCAGACGGTAGCAGCGGACAGCAAACTATTGTACTGTAGCAATGCCCATCTTTGCTGCAATGAGCTTTGTTACGGCAGAATGGCTATCATGTATCTTACTTAATCTTCACATTATCCCCATTTTACTGTTGCAGAAACATGGGCAGTTGAAAAATAGATACTGTATTTCTTTGACACTCAGACACACATCCCCTTCCAAGTCCTTCATTCTAACATTCTGAAATTGAGATACATGTTACAACTCATGGTGATGGATGTCTTCGGGTTGAATGAGATAAACTCAATGACAGTAAGTTGAGGAGCTGGTGTTATGATCCAGGCTTATCAGCTTCCAAATCCTGATGCTTTTCTTTCCTACCTTGCTGCTTCCTGAGGCTAAGGCAGCAGCGGAATTGTAATTTAATCGGAGAGGCAGAAATTGACATCCTGGAATTTCACCTGTTCTCCCACTGCTCCAACATATTCTGGCAGGAGAAAAACATATCCATACCGGTATTACTTGGTCCATACTATGTGATGGTGGTGCTACTTCAGAGTTGAGATTTTCTGTAGGCTTATTCGTTTTTAAATAATTGTGATTTCTTTGACCCGTTAGCGAAAGAAACAGTTTCAGAGGATTCTAGTTTTCCTATAGCACTGAAAGAAAGAAAGAAAAAAATGTGGTTTTAGGTATTTCTTCCTTGTACTTGCTCACCTTTCACTCTTTCTGTGTTTTATAAGGTGACAAAGCAGGTCATGATGAAAATAAAATAGTTCAAGATCAGGCTGACTGCCTTAGAAGATAGAGGTTTTTGAGGAATCCGGGATTAGCGTTGCTTTATGTAGCATATAAGTCAGCCGCTTCTTTGGTGTATTGATTTGCTTGCATTTTAAGAAAGAAAAATGGGCTACAATTTCCTTAATGGTATGCTTCTGGTTTATAGATCGTTCTTATATGCGATTAACAGAAAAGGAAGATGAATCACTGCCAATAGATGTAAGTTGGTCATTTATATTCCGTTAAAATATATTTTAAAAATTAGCCACATAGC